TTGGTCAAATGCTGTCACATGATGTGTCACGTGAAAAATTACCAAACTTGAGAGCGGACAAAGAAGTTTGACGCGAGGAAAATGAAACAATTTGTTTACATTCCACAAATGTTAAACGTATAGGTGAAGAAGACGCAACAAAAAGCAAAGAATTGACAATAACAAGCAGCGAAAAAAGAACAAAAAACAAAGAAAACAATCAAGAGAAGCTTCATGTCAGCCTAATTCTCGCTGGGCGGAGGCAGTAGGATGCAGGATAATGCAGATCCAGGGGCCCGTTTCTTGTAAATTATATGATAATGCATAAAAATGGTCTCTTGGTTGCTCTCCTTTGAAACAACGACGACCTCAAAGTTAAACTTAGAACGTATTGCACTGTCCTTCGAATCGAAAGGCAAGAGAACAGTCCGGTCGCACAAAGCGAATGATTCGAATGAAGTGCCCGCGCGAGAGTCTGGTAACGGCCCGCTATTTTTTCGGGCCCAGTAAGTAGCGGGAAAGTCTACGGGTGCTTCGAGAAACGCAACTTCGGGCCCGATAAAGTTTCCCGATAAAGGTTCCGATAAGTTCATGGGCCCGTAAATTACCGGAACTTTCGAGAAACGGGCCCCAGGAGCCTAAGAATGCGGGCGAATTATTGAAGCGGAAAAAAAGATAGGAGACCTTCCCTCGTTTTCTCGGTGTACGATAAAACACGCTCTGCTCCGGCATCGTCGTTCGTCGACTCCTCGTTCTTTCCTCCGTAACTGCAAGGACACGCTTGTTACTCAGGCTAGGAACAGGCTACTGTAGCTCCGGGGTAAAAAGCAGAGCTGATGGAACTAAAAGTAAAAAAAAAAAAAAAACAGTAAGGACAAAGAGGTCATTAAAAGAAGAGTTACATGGTCTCATACTGGACAATACAAACTTGTGTAACTGTCAGGATTTGGCTTCCGCGAATAATTCTTTATTCCATTATTTAATACTTTTCTGCCTAAGTTTTACTAACATGAAAAAAACGACGCTTTATTTACTGTTTATTTTCGGACATGGGTGATACGATGATATGAATGGATTTGGAAGAAGTGAATAAGACAATGTCGTCTGTGCATAGAGTAACGGTAAACAGTAGAGGGCCAAGGACTAAGCCTTGAGAGTACTGATGAGAGAAAGCGAGTCCTACTGACGTGAGAGATGGTTAATTTTTTTTTTTCGAACATGGGTGAAGCGAGGGTTATAAAGGAAATGAAGGTTTTATATTCTAAATGCAACTTGGAGTTCTTTTTCCACAGTGGCAAATGATGAAGCAGGACACCTTCCCTTCCCTTTTGATATCGTTCCCTTCTCTTTCACGCCCACAGTGACGGATAGACCTCGCAAACGGGACCACAATCCATGAGCCATTTGCCAGCTCCTGTAATACACCTTATTTGCCCCCCAAACATTTAGAACACACATTATCTTCAGCTTCTCTTTGGACGACTGTAATGCCAAGGAGAAATTAAAAACAAAAGTTATATGGGGGGAGGGGGGGCTGGGGGGAACAACGTGTATTACAAGAGATGTGCAAATGGGAAATGCTGTTTTCTAGACTGCGAGCAGTCTCTCTTTTGCTCGAAAATCTGTAAGCGAGAGTATTTGAGCAGCGAAGTCGCGCGAGTTGCGAAGGCGCCAATACGACTCGCGCCCTCGCAACTCGCGCGACTTCGCTGCTCAAATACTCTCACTTACAGATTTTCGAGCAAAAGAGAGTGCTCGCAGTCTAGCTGTGTTTGAAAAGCGGAGTCTTTATTTACGGGTTTACTTAATAGACCGCATTCATATTCTTGATAGGTGACTGCAACTAGCTTGCAGCCGAGGCTAATGCGAGGTCATAAGATGCATGAGCCTCGATTGTAAGCTACTTCCAGTCCATTACCGCGATTAAGAATGGGCAGGTGTAAGATTCAAGCCCAACTCCTCAGCATCGCTGGCTCATGGCTGAGAGCATCTAAGCTGAAGCAAAGATTTTTTGTGCTCACCCAGCAGGATGTCATTCCTTGTCCCGCATTGATGGTCCAACCGTGTTTGAACCGGAGTCTCCCGATTAGCAATCACGTGTCCTACAACTGAGCTGTAAGGGTAGCGCGTGGTTCTCGTTTTATCCTCTCTTTGACCCCTTCACTCGTATTGACATGGATAATCCATCTCCAGAATCTGTCAAAATTGACAGATAAACAGATGGACAAAGTGAGGCAGATAGTTCATCCAAAATAAAAACCGTTCCTTTTTAAAATTAAGACGTATTATCTCTCTGACGCGAATTATGCAATGGATAACCCTTCTCAGAAGGACAATCCGTTTCTTGTGTGAAAACGGACTTTCGCGACTATTTGTTTGTGAATATTTTAAATGCACTTCAGGGTGTTGACGAACATTAAATGAAAGACCCCAAGAATACATATCGAGGAAAAACCAAGGTACATGTAGCCACTATAAAACTCACACCGTAAAAACACCACTTCCCTATTCTCTTTGATGGACTGAAACTAGCAAGAAATCGGGGCGCGTACAGGAGAGGGTGGGGGGGAGAACATCCCCCCCCCCCCCCCCCTGACGCATGTTCCTCGACTACAAACTAGTTCCTAATCGCTCCCGAGAATACGAATATAATCTGATTAGGCCTCGGCCAAACGTCGAACTTTTCATGAGACGAACCAAACTCTAATTTGGGTCAAGCTGAATTTAAAAGTGAAAATCGTATGTTGGGTCAAACTCCGAACGCATCGAAAATATAACATGTATACTTTATTTTTATACTCATCGTTTTGCCATCTCCGCCCGCAAATAGCAAGAGCTAGACGAGGCGGACGGAGTGGAAACCATCAACTGAATCAGACCAAAAAGCAATTTAATAAATTTTCTCCCGAACAAGGCTAAATATACATTATTATACTAATTTTTAATTTATTAGTTAAGTTCGTTGCATGTTTGTCCCGGAGACGACCTTCACACGTTCTATCCGTCTGCTTCAGATGGACGATCCATTCTCAGACGACTGAACTAAACTATCCAAACGTCGAACTTTTCATGAAGAGTTCGATGTTTGGCCAAGGCCTTACAAAAAAAATTAATACTAGGCATTTTTAATTTACAAAACTTTATTTCGTTGAGTTTAAAATGTAACTATATCATCCTAAATAACCAAAACGCATTTGCTGCAAAAGGTAGTTTGCAATGTTCTCACTTGCTTGCTTGTAATAAATGTTCATTGCATTTACAAATAAAGATACAGTCGATTTACCCCAGAATCGCTCTTGGCTTAACGCTAACTAAACTAACATTTTTTAGATAAACTAAATTATAATTTCCTTTTCGTATATTTGTCACTGTCATACAAACTCCACTGAAATATAAGAATACCAAATCAATTGTTGACAGTTGTTAACAACCGCTAAAACTACTACTAAATCAAGTTGTATTAACCTTGATCACACTGGATCAGAGGGCGCGCAAGTCACGATTATAAGTTACAATATTTATCAAACTCTAAAACTACTAGTAACTCGTGTTGTATTAACCTTGGCCACACTGGACCAAATGGTGTACAAGTCACTATCATCAGTGAAAATATTTCTCAAACTCTAAAACTACTAGTAATTCATGTTGTCTTCACCTTGGCCACACTGGACCAGATGGTGTACAAGTCACAATCATCAGTTACAATATTTATCAACCTCTAAAACTACTAGTAACTCATGCTGTATTAGTCTCGATTACTCTGGATCAGATGACGTACAAGTCACCACCACATTCTCGTTTCCGCTATTACGCAATCTGGGCGTGCACTCGCGTGTTTAACTCACTCAATTCTCCTTTGGGTGAAATAATGCTCGTAGTCAACAAATCGTATTCCAAGGGTTGCTTAACACTAAATTCCCTATACAAATTGTATTGCTATATACAGAAATGGTGTTAAATGAACTTTTAGTGTAATTACAGGAATCAAGAGACGCTGTCAAGCTGAGCTGAAACTTAAAAACAAGGCGGTCTTATGTGTAAACACGGTGTTATCTCATTGAAATTATAATGAACAACAATTTTCACTTGACTTCCAAAATAAGAGTATTTTACAAATAATTGCGTTATGGACGTTGAGCTGTGGCTTAAAGTGAAAAGAACACTACAAACGAGAACGCTAGCTTTAAAATATTCAGTCCCTCGTAGTATAGTGCAACAATACCGCGTCACTGAATGACACTCTTTGTTACGAAATCACTTAAAGAAAGTCAGGTCAAGGTAGATAATCTTTGATTTATATGGACCAGTGGTCTTTCGGAGCGAACTTTCTTCGTAACACCAGTACAGTGAGAATGTGCCCAGTTACACTTCCGGGTAAAGAAACAAAATTGATGTGGAGTAAAGTTTCTTGCCTAGGAAGACGACAGATTAACAACTGACCTGTTCTTGCGTCAGGGAGTGACGAAACAACGCGGTTACGAAGCACAAAATTATATGGTTCCTATTTAAGAGGAAATTAAAGTGAAAAATACCCCTTTAAAAACCTGTTGAGATGGTGGATAGTGGGCTCATTTCCGGTGTAATATAATTTATTACTCACAGCTGACGTAAAACAAAGAGAACAAAACAACAATGAACCTAACCCTCACAATAGACCATAAAATAAAGAAAAGGAATCAATTATATTACACCGGGGATGCCCTGGATAATGCTGTATGGGACAACTCTCAGCGCATTCAATACAGCAGTTGGTTTCCCTAACAGTTATCCACTAGATATTGATTTATCCGGTTATAGATAGTGCTATGCACCTTTAGACTGACTTGTGGTGGGAGACAAAGTCTTTTCTCTAGGAATACAGCATCCAGAAAAGAAAACGGCAGCGTTCGAATTCTATTTAAACAAAGATCCTTTTCTCTTTAATTAAGTTACACTTTTATCTTGTCCTTATTTATTACTCTAACAACATTCTATTATCCATGCCAAGCCCCATCAACGTCATGACGTTTTTCAACCTTATTTTACTCTCCATAGAAGGTTACAGAGAGTTCAAATGTGGATAATGATCGGTATTTTAACCGAAGTTCGCTTAAGTCATATATACGACTTTTGCTTGTAGCGCAGCGGTTGTTGACTTGCAATCTCACTGTTCTCAGGGAGGAGTTATTCGCCATTAAACAGTCACATAAACCTGGTAACCAGTCTTCACTTACTTGACTGCGGATGTTGACTGTTAGATTGAGTTCAGTTAATGATAAGCTTTCTGGAAAACCATAAATAGGTACCGGTACAAGAGGCAAAACTTTATGCCGTTCACCTTCAGTATAGTCATTTACTTTCAGAGTGAGTGTAGTTAACAACTTGTTATTAACTAAACTACTTTTCAGAAAGCGTAACCATTCAACAAAGCTCAGGAATTGGTAATCACTGATTGTAACAGAGAGGGAGGTTACTGACTTGTTTTCAGAGAGTCCCTCAGTGAAAAGATCGAGCCAGGCAAAACTAGCACAGGTAATGTTGTTAATCGTCAGGGCTAGTTCCTTCAATGTTATGTTCCTTTCCAGTCCATAACCGAGGTCTTTTAGCCAAGTTGAATCGAAGGCAGCATGGTTTTCATGTTCCTCCTCATAGTTGTTGCTTGTAAGGCAGAGTTTTGTTAGTGAATGGCATTCTTCCAAACATTTTGTCAGAAAGGTACCCCAGAAGTAACTTAAATTTCTACCGTTGATTACGACGGAAAGTGTAGACAAGGACTTCACTGCCATCAAATCTTCTACGAAATAGTCCATTTCGCCACGATCATCAATAGCAAGACTAAGTGTAGTTAACGAAGCCATTTTAGCCAAGCTGTTGACCAGGGTGTTTTTCCAGCCTTTTGCGAAGTTACTGTAATTGTTGATTGCAAGATTTAAAACTGTTAGTGAGGAACTTCTCAACAAACTATCTCCGAGCTCTTTCTCTATTTCAAAATTCATTGTGTAGTTGCTCACTGTAAGATCTAGCTCAATTAGTGATGTGTTTTCTGCCAAAGTATCACCTAGAAGACGTGGCCAGTCACTAAGTACTTCACCATCGTGAGTAATTCTAAGATTAACCTTCTCTTTTCTAGTGTCCTTAAGTTCAGAGAACACTCGTGTCAGTGATGCAGGACTGTCGATAGAGAAACCAAGAGCACTGCACGCTTCATTAGGAACAACGCCGACGCCAAGCACTTTCACTTGAACAGTTGCGTTGTTAAATGCTAGTTCCTGAAGTAAAGCCCTTGTCCCTGAGGCCAGCTCGTCCCAAATAGTGATTGTCAGGGAGGATAATGCATTTTTTCGTCGGACATATCTTGCAATGATATTAGCAACACCATCACTTAATTTTCCATGCACGTTCAATGTCAGGCTTGTCACGGGAACACGAACCAAGACGTCACATAAAGCTTCTGTTCCATCACACTTCAGCTCTCCCCAAACGACTACAGTTAAGTGTTGTTTTGTATCTAACCCATTCTCGACCACAGCAGGACGAAAATGGGCCACTTGATTACATGTAACACTGCTGCCAGGGTCTGGATAAAAAGAACATTTAACTGACCCCTTCTTTACCAAACGAAGATTTTCCACAACAGAATGCCAGTTTTCAGGAATCTCTCCACGTACATTCAGTGCTAAATCATTTAAAGAGAGATTTTCTAAAAGACTTCTTTGTAGGGCATTCGCACAAGAGAGACTAAGGTAACCGTTAACACTAAGATCTAATGACTTGACTGCAGTTTGTCGCGCAGTTCCTATACTAATAGCAGCAGCTTCCCACTCTTGCATTTCTCCAGAGATATTAAGGGAAAATGAAGCCAGAGCTTTGTTCGATAAAAGCTTTCCTAAACCATGGACCGCAGTGTCGTTCAATGACCCACGAACGTGGAGGTCCACAGAATTCAAAGCAGAGTCCGCAGACAAAGCAGGTTCAATAGCCTTTGCCCAAGTCTCACCCCACACTCTGTCAAGATAAAACGTAACTTTCCTCAAGGCTTTGCATGCAGCTAACACTTTACCGATGATAACCGCTGCGCCACAAGGGATACTGTCACACATTTGTAGAGAAAACTCTGATAATGTCGTGTTTCCAAATAAACCGTTGCGTAGGGCGTTGGCCAGGCCTGATGACACTGGAGGGATAAACATGCTAAGGGACTGAATCTGCGAGCAGGATTGTATGTACTCACCAAAAAGATCGAGTCGGGCTGAGATAGATATCAGGGACCCTGTTCTTTCGCTGGTTTCGTTGCAAATGATAAGTTTAACTGGCTGCTGTAAACTGCGAAAACTTCTGCATGCCTTTAAAACTTGAAATATATTGCAATTGGAAAACTCTGGGACAACCTTAACTTGCTGTGGGAAAGGTATATAGGAACAAAGAGTACTTGCCATTTGTTCAGCGTGACCGCTTTCGCTAAAACTTTCCACAAAGAACGTTGACGCCTGCTTACTGCACTTGTCCCAGTCCCAGTCTTCCTTCTCCTTTAATTTCTTCCCAATCTGCGTGAATAATAGCGTTGCTTTCTCGCCCATCATACCAGAAACAAAGAGAAAAACTTGTGGATATTCTTGGACCAAATCACTAAACGTCGTGAAGTGAAACACATTTAGCTGTCCTCTCTGTAGCTTGTGCGTTATAAAGGCGGCTGCCAAATATTCTTGGAATGTCTTGTGAAGAAACCAGTACTCGTATTGTGACCTCAGGATCCTCTTCAGTCTTTCTTCCTTGTAAAGAAGGCCTATTTTGCGAGCTACCAAGTTTTTATTTTTGACTTCAAATTCTGCCAGTTCTTCTTCACGAAAAGATTGACGATAGTTCAGCAGGCACATCCAAGCTAACTCTCCGAGGGCAAGAATATCTTCGTCAAAACGTTTCTCTAAAGTGTTATCTTCTAGAACCGCCAAGCTGTGTTTTGCACAATATCGTCTCAAAAGGCATTGGACAATGACTTGGTAAAGTTCAGTCCGCGAAGTTGGCAGTTTTCCGTCATAATCCTCATAAATAACACAAAGAAGAAGTAAATTTAGCGGATTATTTCGGAGTGCGTTCAATAACGTGTTTTCTTTCACTTCCTTCGCGAGCGTCTCTCCTTTCGAGCTATGCTTCGGACCGACATTTTGAAAATGCTTCTTGATATAACAATAAGCATCATCTTCTGTAAATCCTTTGACCTCCAAAAGAAGATCAAATTCAAAGTTCTTTCGCACATCAATTCCTTTTTCCTGTCGGGATGTAACCAAGACATAACAAAATGGCAAAATTCTTCTGCGAAGTAGTTTATCGACAAACTTTTTCGATTTCTCGGGAAGTTCATCCAAACCATCCAGAATGATTAAGATTTTCTCTTGGACATGAATGTCCTTAATGAATTCGGAGAACTTCGTCCAGCTCTCCTCTTTCATATCTTCAGGGAAAAGCTGTTCTTTGATAGCTTCCATTATATCTTTATCTATGTCTCGACATTTAAGGAGCAGCACAAATTCCAGTTTGGGAAAAGAAGAGTTAGTTGGTACCGTTTCACGAGCCCAGTCATAAGCAAGTTTAAGGCAAAACGTAGTTTTACCGATTCCTGGACTTCCCTCTACTAGCGTCATAACATCCTCACCTTTTTTAAGATCTGTAAAGATTTGGTATATGTCCACCTCATCATTTTTCACTTGAATTCCACATTTCCTTGGCTGAAAAACTTTCAAGTTCGTGGCGGGGTTTTCGAAAGGTGGGATGATTCTTGGACGTCCCTCTACTTGCGTCAAAACACCTTTGCCAGGAGCCTTGAAGATGTCGTACATGTCCACCTCGACATTTTCTACCTGAAAGTCTGCTTTTCGTCGTGAAACAATTTTCAATCTCGTGTAGACATTTTCAAGGGGTAAATGGATGGTGTTAAACCAAGAAAGCGGCATCAATTTAGATCGTCTCTCGTATTCAGCTCTGAGCAATTTCACAACAACTGATTTTTCTGTACCTGTGGGCAACATGAAATATATATCTGTACACGTTATAAAGTTCTGAGTTAAATGTGAGTTTATTTCTGGTTTTCATCACTTGATTACAGACTGAGGGCGGGGAGGGGAAGTTACCTTGGCAGGTTAGCATTAAATTGTTTAAAAAAAAATAGAGGCTGAAACCGACTTTTAAACATGTAAGCACTAATTTGCAAGATGTTGCACTACTGTCGCTTTTATCACTTAAGAAACGTGATTGGTCACAACCGAGTATTAGATTAGAATAGAGCTTGGTTTCTTAAGAAATTAGTATGGCTCTGTCTCGGTAGGAAAGTGAGACAATAATTTGGTTTTATCAACTGACTTGACTGTTAAAAGTCAATTTTTCATTGTAAAAGGATTCAAAACTAGGTTTTTCGAACGCCAACACTATGGTCAGAGGGAATCCATATAAGGGCTGATGCTCGAAAAGCAAGATTTTGAATCTTAACCATAGCAAAAGTACCAACACAATCTTGTTTTGTCAGCTCTGCAGATAATAAAGCCGGTGACACCATACTACTATTGAGAAAATTTACATCAACTATCTTAAACACATGTGATGAAATACCAACACTTATTCTAAATAAACCAGAAACAACATTTACCTTCATCTCTCAACAGTCTCATTTGTTTTGGAGCAAGGACAACACTTGAAGATAATGGCGTTTTCCCTTTTTTCGAGAACGTGGATCCCTTTGCTACGCCTGCAATTAAATAAATTACCAACATTAATTTTATCTAATCCCCAAATAAGTATGCCAAAAGCGTTTTACCAGACCTTTTTTAACAAGACGTATTCTTAACGCTGCATACACTAACAAACAAAGAGTTGGATGGCAGGTCAACATTTCTAAGGCCTGTAAATTTTGTAATTATTTTGGATTTAGTGGTTTCTTGAACCGCACTCATGTCTAAAAGTATATCCATTATTCATGAGGCTTGAAACATTTGATGCACATGACCGAAGTGAGCAACGACGGCTACTCGCACATAGACCAACGAGCACACGATATAAAAAGCGTCAGTTTTGCATGTAACTGTAACTGAACTTTTTACCCAAGAAACACCTAACAGTGTAAAAACGTGACTGGTGTTCGTCCGTTGCTCCAGATCGAGTTGGAATTTGAGTCGGCCTTTGACGAGATGGGAAAACTGGAGGAGCTGCATAAAACCCTCACGGAGAAAGGGAGAAATACGCCACTTCCACATTTCCCGTAATGCACCTTATTTGCCCCCCAAAATCTTGCATAACCATTGTTTTTCATTTCTCCTGGGTTTTACAGCCATCCCAAAAGAAATTTGGGGGGGGGGGGGGTAAACAAGGTACATTATGGGAAATGTGGAGGTGGTGTAAAACACAGGACCAAATCGGTGAACCTGGGGAAACTTGGTTGGAGACGAATTCTCTTAGACTACATCAACTCTGCCACCTTACACAGGTTTGAAAAAATAATTTTAACGTGGCTTTGTCAAGTAATTTAGCCCGCAAACCACCTTCTAGAAGACAAGGTCCGGACCGTCGGCTGTTTTCCTGTGCAGCCTTTACTACGTATTATGAAGGGAGTTACAAGGGTCACAAAATAACAGCAAAAAACCCCTACTAAATCGATGAATTCACACCAAAAAATACAGGAATAAATCAATGGTAAGTGTCCTTTATATATTTTATAGAAAAAAAGGTAAAATATAATGATATTTAGCGTTCGCAGACCTCAGTATCTTATTTCTCATACAACGTCTCAATGCTCGCCTGCAACGCGACACAGACTCTCTTGCAAGAAATGACAACAACGTTAATTTGTATTCCACACTCATAACATGAGCTTGGGACGCCTGTGGTCAGACTTGAGAAGCGTACAATTTGCTAAAGCGCGTTTGAGAGCGACTCGAGCCCCGTGAGTGTCCAACTTCAAAGCGGACGCAGAGGGGCGGGCATAATAAAGCCTCAATCAAGAAACGCAAAATCCTCCACATCATGTTATCGCTGGATGCTGCTTCCAATGCATTGTTGGATACAAGTCCTACAATAGTCCCAGTAGTGTGCAGGATGTTTGTCACGTGAACCTAGTTTAGTGGCCTTAGCTCCCACCAGTCATCTGTAGCTCAGGAGTAGAGCATCTGGACCAGTAACCAGAACCTAACACGTTCAACTCCTATTCGGGGAGTACTTGAATTTTTGTAGGAGCCGCCTGTGTCACTGACTGAACAACAGTCTTCCCCACTAAGACAGTTGTACATAAATACACGTACATATAAAAAGAAACAATAACCTCTATTCGAAAATGAAAAACTAACCTTACCTTCATCTTCCAACAGCCTTGGGTATTTTGGAGCTGGAATGTTACTAGAAGATAACGGCCTTTTGCCTTTCTTGGAAGACTGAAGTTTTTTTGTCGAACCTAAAATCCAATCAAATACTGTTTTAGTATTTTTCCCCAATAATAATTTTTACCTTTACGCTACATAGACTGATATTCATCTTTATATCCATTATATTTGCAATTTTTAAAAATGAAACTTTGTATGAACTAAATGTCGCCATTCTATTAACGAAGCTTGAAAAAGGCCTGACTGGCACTCGAGCCTTGAAGGTTGTAATTTCCAGACGCTGCCAAACTCTGTTGTATTGAACTAATCAAACAAAAATACAAGAAAGATCAATTTCGCCATTAAGAAACTCTTGGATTATGGTTTCCACGCTGTGGATTCCGGATTCCAGGTAATGGATTTAGGATTCCAATCCTTAAATTCTAAGGCCCAGGATTCAGGATTCCATGAAAAAAAATTCCCGAATATTTCCAGATTCCATAAGCAAAAGTTTCCCGGATTCTGAAATCCGGATTACCATTGGGCGATCAATAGCCCTCTTTAGCTTGTATGTTTTGTTTTTCCAGTAGAGGTCCCAGGGGAACTCAACTCTTAAATAAGATGTAAATTAAAAGAAACAGTCCTCTAAAGTATTTACACATGACCTGCACTGCAAAATAAACCCTACAAGCTAAAGAGGTCAACTGTTACAGCTTGTTACTTATCACCTCTACACCCAACAATGGCCAGTCTCAAGCTGAAAATTTCACTTAAAATAACCTATTCAAAACGACCAAGCCTCTATGATAAAACGCAATTTCCTTATGCTGTGGTCCATTACCCTATTTAGCATGAAAAACGTAAACCTGAAACGAGTATTAGTATAATGACATTGATGATTATCGAAAATAGAGCACTATGATTGGCTAGGAGCTTCGCTTCATCCCGCTATAATCACCGCGCGGTGATTATAACATTGAAGGCTAGCTGTTTTTAAAATGGCAGCCACATTGATCAATAATTTTATTTTCTCGAATAATTATCAATGTAATTATACTAAAACAATTAGTCACCTCAGGCGACGTGAATTCCGCGAATAGTCACCTCGACTTCGTCTCGGTGACTATTGGCCGATATTCACGTCACGTTCGGCGGCTAATTGTTAATTATTTCTCGGCATCTAACATTGTTAACCTGTAACCAGTGTGAAAACGTTTTGACCTTGTAATTCAGTCTTAAATGAGTCTTGTTTAATGCTTCAACCATTTCTTAGTTATTTAACGTCCCCACAAGGAATAAGTACATCTCCCAGATCTTCCTACATAGAAAGCAATGAATTGCTCTTGTGGACATATTAGGGCCATTTATACGAGGAAAAATAAGACGCGTTTTCCATAAGACATGTACCATTTATACGAGCATGTCTTATCTAATAAGACGCATCTTAGCTAAGCCGCGTCTTATTTTAGACGAAATGTGCCGTTTATACGGAAAGTTCGCGTCTTATTTAAGACGCGTCTTATTTTTCCTTGTATAAATGGCCCTATTGTTCATGTATCTAAGATTCAAGGGTACCTTTATAATGATGTTTTTCAGTTGGAGAGGGCTTTTCATCATGACAGATCACAGTGGCTTTCTTAGATAAATTCTGCTCATCTGCACTGGGACCTACATAAAAAAAGCAAAAATGTAGACATTCATAATTCGTTACTTTTGACCCTCAAGGTTGAGAATAAGACATTGAAAGGTATCGCGATTTTGAAACTCTCTGAAATTGGCAAAAGTAGGCGGACTTCTCTGGTGGAGTTATTAAAAAGAGATTGATAAATTTGTTGTTGTGAAGTTTTCACTAATGTTGTCATTGTAATTACGTGAACTTAATTCTCTTTTATATTTATGGTTTCCTCAAAGAAAATATAAAAATCGAGTAATACTTAAGACAAGGTGAAAACAACGAGAACGGTAAAAAATAACAACAATAGGCAAAAAAAACAACTTTGCACGTGCACCACATTTTTGTATATTTCCTTGCTGTTGTTTTGCACGAATAAAACGTGAAACTTCTTTTAACTTCCTGGTTACACGTTTTAGGGAGTAAATGTTTGTGTTCCTGTTTAATCTCTTTTTTCACTGTCCATGCTAGCGTTTCTCATTTTCTCACCGCCACGATATAATTTTAAACTTTTTCTTCCAACGAAATTGGTCTCTGTTGTTATTTATTTCTCGCTCACAGACTACACAGACTACCCGAAATTAATTTTGCATTGGTATGCCTGTGGTGTGGACGGACGGTTGCTCGCTTCCTCAGTGTACGGTCACATGATTACCAAATTTTCTGGGATGGGTAGATTACCACATTTTCTTAGCTATGGGGCTCCGCCCACGAACGGCGCTGTGGAGCTCCGCTACAAATGTACATTTCCTAATGCCAGCAGATTACACAATTCCAAAACCAATTTGTTACCTTGAGAAATGGCAAGCATTCGTTGCACAAGTCTGTTACAGTGATCTTGCCAGCTGTATATCTCTGCATACTCTCCTTGAAGAAGCCTGGCCTCTCTCAGTCGCAGCTTCCTTTTTTTCTTCCGTACAGCTATGATTACATTGGCCCAATCTTTAGGATCTTCTGATTCCACCACACAATTTGAACCATTGGGAACTTCCTGTAAAGCCTTGCCAAGACCAGAGTTTCCACTAACCAGCACAGGCAGACCAGCTGATATGGCCTCAAGGGCGGCTAGACCGAAGCCCTCAGTTCGTGATGGCATTATAGCAAGATCTACTTCACAAAACAAACGGGCTAACTGCTCTCTGCTTTCATTGAAACAACGCACAGTCAGTTGACTGCGATCAATGCCTCGCTGGAGTAACAAATCTTTTACTTTCTCCTCCTCTCCACTTGGAGCTCCAACAAACAACAGCTTATAGGGCTGTGGCTCGTCTTTCAACTCGGCAATAGCGCGAGCAGCGATGTCATATCCTTTCAGCTGAAAGTCTTCATTGTCACCACGTCCAAACACTAAAACACTAAATGTTTTTCTCTCTTCAGTGGCTTGCTTTACAACAGAAAATTCTGAGAAGATACCTGGGGTAAGATTAAGAACATCTTGATCTTTTCCACAGGCACGGAGATAACCTGAGAAAGCTTCAGCCAGCTTAGGTCCAACTGCAACAACTTGATCAGCTTTTTCACAGAGTTTTACCTCAGCCTGGTGCTTTTTCTCGCCTCTCGAAATGGCATCTGCATAGGACTTGTACATACCAAGCTCTTCAGGAGCTGTATGAACGACCTGAATCCACTTGCAGTCACAATGACGCTTAATAAACTGCACTTGCCGACCAAGAACAGCTCCATGTCCTATCACACAGTCCACAGCATGGTCGTCTGGCAGAGAGGACAACCAGTCTACTGGGTTGTCATAACCTGCCATTTCCTCTGCTTCAATTAGATGAACATTGTGACTTGCAGCAACTCGTTTATCTTCTTCACTACACTGAGGGAGATAAACACTGACCTCCACGCTGGGATGTTTTGCCAACTGAATGGCCAGCTCTCGGTTGATGGTTGACAAGCCTCCTTTCGTTGATCTCCATTCACTGCTTAACAGAGTTACTCTCAATTTCCTGGAGGAAGTGGATCTTGATATGCTTTCATGGTCTTCCTGTGATGTAGAGGCTGTGCTAGGAAAGGATGACAATTCCTAAAAGAAGAGTGGCATAAATTTATTAAACGGTTTATTAAAAAGCTAATCTGAGATCCTAATTTTACAGTTCTCATACATTCTCTCTTACGTAGTCCCGCTAACATTTCTCTTTTCGTTTCGCCTTGCCCCCTGGAATGTTATTTACAAAGAGAAACGAAAATAGAGCCTGACCCCAGGTTATTAAAAAGCCTTATTAATAGTAAGTTCTTGCAAACTTTAATTGAGCATTGTCTTCCACTGCTTTTCTGTCAGCGAGTGGACTGGAAAAACTGACTAGAAAAACATGCGGACATTTTTTGAGAGTTTGGGCTACCTGTGGTGTCTCATGTATATATTTATCTCTATACCATAAATCCTCTTTTAACCCCCCACCCCCTGCCAAATAAGTCCTCCCCTTTTCAAAGGAAAAAAGTTTTTAAGCCCCCCCCCCCCCTTTCAGGGGAAGAAAATCATTAAGCCCCCGCTCTCTTTTAAGCCTCCACTCCCCTCCACTCCCCCTTTATTCTTAGACTGTATTTATTAATTATGTACTGTAACACTTGACATGGACTGGCCCAGTATAATTTATTCATGTGCTTGAAAGAGTGGGGGACAGAGACAACTTGTAGGGTGAAGGGTCAAAGATGATGCAAGTTACTAAGAGTGTCTCAACAGCACATTACACCTGTACCACATTAAGAGGTGTGGACTACATGTATGTAAACTTCCAATTTAATGATATGAAGTGAAGGAAATGATCACTTAGTGAAAATGTTTTGATCGTTAATCAAACTCTCTTAACTACATATAATTCTTTTAACCCTTTAAACCCTAATATCAAAATTCAAATTCTCATTTGTTGTCCCTACTTGTTTTCAATGGAAGTAGTGGGGAGAATTTGTTGAAGTATCAATTAGATTCATCTTGTGTGATCAGGTCCTCAATTCTCATGACCACTGATCACTCTTAGGGCTTAAAGGATTAAGGAATGCATTGAGATCATTCTGGAGAATTTGTATGTGGATACTGGTGTTTAAAGGGTTGAAACAAGCCATTGAAGCCCACACAGTAAGAGCTTCTCTTGGTTTGAGTACTGTGAATTGCCAAGAACTATTCCCAGGCCAACTCCCCCCACCCCTCCCTGGATGGGATACTAGTCCACCACAGCATTGTTCCCAATGGTATGTAGCCAGTTTAAAAAAAAATACAAAAGTAAAGATCCTTGAGAGGAGAGGTAAAGGAAGAAACAATTTCTTGACTAAGATGAAAACTCAAAAAAAATTACGTTGTTAGTAAAATCTATATTTAATTAGATTTTTATTAATTCAGATAATGTTACCTTTTCACCAGATATTTAGAATTTAAAGCTCAGAAAGAAATACTATTCAATTTTTTTATCCTTGGACGAAATTATTATATTTTTGAAAAACCTATGTATTTTTCTGTAATTCCTGATAATGCACACAATCTTTTGAGATCATGACACTAGTCACTCTGTTTTTCATCTACTTTTACATGTTACAGATCATGCCTGTTGAATAAAAGGAGAAAACACAAAAAGACAGAAAAAATACTCACAATACTCAAAATACTGTCTTAAAATTTGTGCTTGGTAACATACAAAAGGAATGTTTAAGAAGGAATCCACCAGGAAACTGAGTAATTTTAATTCTCAGAGGACAAAAAGCTTGTACCGGTAGAAAAAATTTTAAAAGGCTATGGGAAGAAAAAAATTCATTAAAAAATTATTATTCACTCGATTGTAATTAAACCAACGATTTTGTAACTTGGGCACATAAGGCTTTATTCTGGCCGAGTTTGTGGCCAGGTCATATTTTGACTATTTCCTTGTTGATAATTACGCGGAGCTGATCTTCACAATATTGCATCCTTTTTACATTTTTCAAGAGCCAAAGATGTAAGTGGTCATCTGTAATAACACCAAAGAAAATTTCTCATGGGATTCCAAGAAAATGAATGTCAAATTTCACAAGAATTGTGAAAACACAGGAAAAAATTCTGAAAATTTTATGTGTAAGATGTAATTTTGTGAAATTTGACATATTCATTTTCTCCAGCGCCCATGAGAAATTTTCTTTGGTGTTATCACAGAAGACTAATTACATCTTTAGCCCTTGAAAAATGTAAAAAAAAGAATGCAATATGCTTTAAATTATTCTGGCGCAGGATTTTTGTCCACTAAAAATTAAAATTACTCAATTTCCTGGTGGATTCCCTCTTTATTTAATCCACCGTCAGAATCACTGAGAATTTAGTATTGCGTTTGAACGATATTGTAGTGAAGTTGATCTTTAGTATGAAAACTTTAAACGGGTGACAAGTACGTTTGTGCATATTTTGAAAAAAAGTGAGTAAACAGTGTACACAACTGAAATTAGTCCTGATGTCTTGACGAGATGTAGTTATTAACAATTGCATTGTTTCTTCACCTCCATATATCTAAAATGGTTCCCTTGGGAGTTTACAGATTGACACACGCACTCAGGGAGGGGTGGTGGGGTAGGGGTTGGGAAACTTCCACGTTTGGCTTACTCAGTATGTGTAGCTCTGCAGGGAAGAGGTTTATGGGAATTCAATCTTAAAAAAAAGTATTCAATGTCACTATTTAGCATTTTAAACAGGGTAGCAATTTGAATCCATTTTGCTTTAACCCATTTGCTCCTGGAGATTTTGCCGAAAAACACGTTTTGAAGCTAGTTGAGTGGTTTTCTGGTCACTGGTGTGCTATAAAGAGCTAAAACTTACCACAAACTGGTTTACAGGTCGAACACTTCGCGGTCTTCTGATCCAGATGCAAAATATCAGCTTGCGAAGTACGGGCATGCGCAGAAAGCAAAATTTCGAGATAGTTTTTGGGTTTAAAAGTGACACAGCAGTCTTGACTTTTACTTTTCGCTTTCTCTCCTCCCTTCTTTTTTTGCTTTTCTTGCCTCATTTTTTTTTCTCTTGCTGGGCATTTAGTAGGCTAGCTTTTAGAATCTTAGGATTAGGCGAAAGGAAAGGTAGGTGGGTAATGGAACAAGATTTTCATGGAGATTTCAGGTCAATGTCAGGTGGTTTTTTGCTTGTTTCTCCGGTGTCCTTGACTGAATTGTGCTCATTCTGGTATGGTTTGAAAGATCTCTTCACTCTGCACAAGTTAGTGAAGAAAGTTGTCCTTGACCTTTAAAACTGATGACGTCACAATGGGTAGAAAGGACCTGGATCCGCACGGGTGGTTACAGGCGGTTCAGGGGCGAATGGGTTAAACAGGGTCAGAATCAAAGGGTTTTAGCAACACAGACCCAACCAGACTTCTTTTAAATCTCCCCCGCCCCACAAAAGTTTCTTCCCTTATGCATAAGGATAGTACTGTTATTACTTTGACGCTTTTTTCCGAGTTTTAAATCAAGAGATGGAACAGAGGGGGCTCAAATCAGACGTCCCCTGATTCAGAGTCTGACATGATTACATCCCTACACCAACATTCAAAACCACAACTAGAACTAATTCTCACACTTCAAACCTTACAACTTCTTTACAAGATACCAAGAAAAATCAACCTTCACTTGACTAACACCATTAGCTAACAGATCACAAATTTTTCTTACCTCCATCAGCCTTGACATCACAGGAATCCTAAAAATCCTTCAACACTGCAGACATGAAGACTACAACAGGAACAGAGAAAGAAAGTACACATTGTAAATAATGGTGCAATGTTGTAAACTACATGTACCATTTGACACTTTCTTTTTGTGGGAGTTTAATTAATTATATAATAATTTTGTGGATTTATGATTTTTTGTAATTTGTAACAACTAATAATTAGTTGTTGGGCCTATCTCAATTATTATTATTGGGATTGGTCCAGTCTGGTTTTTCTCCTTCTGAATCTTAACAACTGCATTATATTTTTTATTTGAGTCAAAATACAGGTAAACCAGCATTTGAAAATGTTGTAGGTAAAATCTGTTCTCAGGGTAAACCTGAATTTCATTGTCACCTACACACTGTACATCTGTATGATTAATATGGACTAAAAAAGAAAGGAAATTCTGAACCAAAGTAGGTTTAAAATAATATTATAGTCCTGGGCCTGGTTGATGAAACACTGGATAGTGCTATGGATGAATCACTAACCAGCGGATAATGGATAGCGTTATCTACCTTTTGTACAACTGGGGCCAGGTTTAACCAGAGGATACATTTCCCATACAACAAAATAGATACTGTATTATTTTTCTAAGTTAATACAGGTGGGGAAGTCATATTTTTTGCAGCAATGTGTTTAAGGGGGAGAAGTGGGGGATGGTCAGGGTTACTTTTTACAGCTGTGTGTGGATCTTGATGGAAACCACCAAAATATCAAAAACCACCAAAACAAAAGGCCACAAGGTAAGATATGAATAAAGTAGTGCTAAGTGGGCTGGGAATTTCAGGGCAACTTTGCATTACAAATACATAATTATAAACAATCTACCGTATTTATTCGATTAACTGCCCTGGGCGCTTATTAAATTTTTGGACCTGGAGAGTGGGCACTTAATCGAGGTGGGCGCTTATTCGAGGCTGGGCGCTTATTAAATTTTCACCATTTTCAGCAAGTTCAGTTTGCAACAAAACAATAAGTGCTAATAACAAAACGTGAAGAAATAACAAAGCAAGGTTTCTGTAAAATACTTTGAAGAAAACTCCGTCCTCGGGGAAGTCTCTTATTAAAATTTATTCACTCAAGTGGGTAGGGTGGGGGTGAGCGCTTATTTGAGTTTTATTGGGAGGAGGAGGGGGTGGGCGCTTATTCGAGGCTGGGCGCTTATTAACTTTTTCTGCCTTTAGGATGGGCACTTATTCGAGGTGGGCACTAATTTGAGGTTGGGCGCTTATTCAAATAAATACGGTAATTCTTTTTACAGGTGTATTTTTCAAAATAATAACCTCTTTCTACCCCAACTTTATTTGCATTAACGCTTTTTTGAGTGAGTATTTATCCCAGGGGTATGCTGGCAGAAGAAGGGACTGGACTCCACTCTCTGGAGGATACTGAGGTGTACATCCCCCAGGGGGGAGGGTAGACATCCCTCATTTAGGGTTTGGGGAGGAATCCCATGATGCCAGATAAAGGAAATGGATCAGGGTCATGAAATGAGTTTTCTTATCTTAAACAGGGAAGTGAAGAGAATGGTTTTTGTTTAAAAAGGATGAAGGTCTGAGGGCCTTGGCATTCAACTCCTACTCAAACTTCCCTTCAGTGTCCCACCCCGAAATTTTAATACCATTAGACAAAACATTTTTTCTGCAGTAATAAAATTCTGATTGTGACAAAATTATTACATAATTCAAATTGTCTTACCAAAGCTTGGTACATGGATCCTTATCCTCTGAAACCCACACATCATGAAATTTGAACTGATTGGTAGCAGGAACCTTCATGATAAAATCAAGGGCAATGCGTCAAGACAAAGAGCAGTTCACTTAGTTACATATAATTATTACTGTAATTATTGCTTTTATAGAACCGGTGCCGCTGCACTGCCTTGCTGATGGTACTGTTACTCACCAGTCAATAAACCTCCCCCCTCCCCCTCCCCCACACTCAGCCAAGATATCCATGGACTGTAGCAGGGCATTTGACTGGTAGGCTTTGCAAATGTAACCACAGGATTTCAAAAAGGAAAAGTAATAATCCTTTTTTTTCCATTTGTATTTGTAACAGCTTTTTTGAGTTACTTCAATTCTATGATGGTTTGTAGCTTCATGTAGTATCATGTACAGGACTTTGATATCCACATTGCCACATTTTAGGTAAATTACTCTATTTCTTGGAATAAACTCGCGCTCTATTAACCCACCTCCTCCAAAAAGGTGCCCACCACATAGGCCATACATGTACATGTAAAATATCAAACAAGCACCCCTTGTGAATAAGCTCCCCCTCCCCCCAGGGCTGGGGATACTCTGGATTTCAAGTGACAGAAATGATCCAATGGGGGCTGATTCGTTCCTGTGATTGAAGGGCTACTTTATGTTGAAGATTTCACCACTAACTGATTTTCGCGTACATGACCGTACATGGAATTTATTTGCACTTGTAGTAGTTTAGTCAACTGAAAAATTAAATTAATATGACAAAGAAGGTTATTACACATGTCGATTTCGGTTGAAGCGACGGGAAAATATTATACTTACAATCTGTGTTCCATATGCGGCTAGTAAGCTTCGAAGTGCGATCTGTGGTGACACTTTTGAAATGTAAGTTGCGTAACGAACTTCTAGGTTTTTAAAATAATTAGTCACCTGATCTATTTCTGCCGCGTTGCGCTAAGATAATTAAATATTCACAAAAAAATTGACAAACGGCTTGAAAAATGCAAATCAGGGGCAAAAATCAAAACCCCAAAAAATCCTTAGGGCTTCCAACAAAACCCCCAAAAAATCCCTGGACCAAAAATTAAACCAAAAAATCCCATGGCAAATTTCTAATCCTTAAAATTTGCAGCAGGCTTTAAATGATATAACTCGAAAAATATGAACAATAGAAATTGAATGTTTGTGTTTGTTTATTCATCACACCATCTGAATCTTCAGATTGTTTTCAATACCCAAAAAATCCCTTCTTAAATCAAGCCCCCAGAAAAAATGCTCGCCAATTTTTTTTACCCAAAAAAATTCCCAGAGTCTAAAATGTCCAAACCTCAAAAAATCCTTCGATCATCCCCGTCACTTGAAATCTGGATTACCCCTCCGGGCCCCTCCCCACCCCTTCACTTTCTTAAATAGTTAGAATACAAGGAAAACAAGTTTCTATTTCCACTTAATTGATGAGAGAAACAATATTTCATGATAATATTTCATGGTACACTTAATTACCAACCACTCTTTCAACAGATGAAAGGCAATAATGTTTGCTTACCGTTTACATAATTTGCTTTTCCATTAAAAATTTAGCTAAAATAAAGCTACAATTCATTGAAAAGAAAACTTAATAAGCGACCTTCTCCCAATAAATGCCCGTCTCCTTTTAACCGAAATTTGTCACAAGAGCCCAGGCGCTTACAAGAGAAAAACAGTAATATTAATTTTTATTTTGCAAAGTTTTCATCTGCTCATTCGCTAATAATTATGAGAAACTCTTCAATGTCTGGCCACATCGAAGGGCCAAATCATAATGAACGTTTGAAATAAGGTGTCAGAAAACTTAGAAGCTGGAAAATGCATGGCTGGTTCTGCTGTAATTTACCATACAAGACGCATTTCAATTCTTCAGAGTCACGCGATATGTCTCGTGTACACGACTGCACATGCCCTAGGCTTGCACATGCCCTAGGGCCTAATAGAAAACTTATAAGTTGCAGTTTGTTTTCGAATGTAAAATCAGCGGAGACGCCTTGTGAATTTACAGGAAGAAAGTTAGCTTATAAATTCAATAAGCTTACACTTAATGCTTACCTAAACTTCAGGAATCTTGCAACGAAAATGCAGCCACGTGGAGGCCATCTTTCGTCACAGTTAGGCATAAGGAAACGCTTGGTGAGAAGATTGAATCAGCCCATGACTGCAAGACTGATGAAAACAGCTAGAAATTTGAAAGTTCCTCACGAAATTGCACAGATTCTCTTCTCCGCAGCGCTTCCGCTTCGGCTCCCTTGGTAAGAAGCATGAAGGGAGGATTTCATTGGTCAAACGCTGTCACATGATGTGTCACGTGAAAAATTACCAGGGTGAAATACAGGAAGAGCGGACAGAGGACTGGGATGCGGAGAATATGGAACAATTTGTTTACATTGTAATGTGATACGTATAGGTGAAGAAGACACAACAAAACGCAAAAAAGTGACAAAAAC